GGCTGGTGGAATCCAAGCAACCGGTGTTTCCCAGACAAGAGACTGTGTCCGCGGGAAGCAGAGGAGGCCGAGTGTGGGTGAAGAAGGGTAGGGGGTGGGAAAGCGTATATCACAAATTACTGGAGCTCCACCACCCCTCAGGAAGAAGCGAAGATGGTGCACGGAGCCAGGTATTTGAGTGAAAGGAGGGGGAGGTGGTGAGAGGTAAGGAAGAAATCAAAAGAAGCGGAAAAAAGCAATATCAGCAGCCAACTAATAGCACTCAGAGAGCTGGCCCGTTCGGGTGGGTGGAATCCAAGCAGCCAGTGCTTCCCGGACAAGAGACTGTGGCTGTGGGAAGCAGAGGAGGCTGAGTGGGTGTGAAGAAGGGTGGGTGGTGGGAAAGCGTATATCGCAAATTACCGGTTGTTTTGTCTCCAGCTGGAAGCTCCGTGAAGCTGCTTTCTTGTACCCCGCTTGTTGGTCTCCGATAGGAGTCCAAGATGGTGGCTCCGCGCTGCATTAGCTTATAGGGGTCCTCTGCATGAATCTCTCCTTGCTCTCTGTTCTCTGTCAGTTATCTCACTCCATTTGGTGCTTGGCTGAGTTGTTTATCTCTTCATTTGATGTTTTAGGGTTTCAGGATCGTTGTTTTCTCTGTTCTGCTTAGTTTTTCAGATCTTTGCTGTGGAGGGATGTCGTGGTGCTTCTGCCTAGAGAGCCATTTTGCTGGAAGTCTCCAGATTTGTAAACTTTATTGTGACAGAAATACCAGCTTTATTGTTTGTGAATCCTCTGATTTTACAGGAAAGGAACATACTAATAATAGCAGTTGTTGGTACCCAAGCTTGTTTCTTAATGTATTTTCCTTGTTTCTCTGATTATTTTCAAAATTATCCAGTGTCAAGGAAAGAAGATTGGGAGATTTCAAGAATTTTATTTTGATTCAGTAATATGAAATAATGACCTTTGATTTTGTATTTAAAGAATAAGTCTCCATTTAGGAATGGGACGTTTACCTTCTTATCTCCTCTTTTGTGGTTATTTTACCCCTAAACCAAAACCAAAACAAACCCACTGCCATCGAGTTGATTATGACTCATAGCGTCCCTATAGGTCAGAGTAGAACTGCCCCATATGGTTTCCAGAGCTGTAATCTTTACAGAAGCAGACTGCCACATCTTTCTTTCATAGAGCAGCCAGTTGGTTCTGACTACTGACCTTTGGGGTTAACAGCCAAGTACTTAACCACCGAGCCACCAGAGCTCGATTTTACTCCTAAGCCAAAAAAAACCCAAGCCCGTTGCCATCAAGTTGATTTCAACTCATAGTGGCCCTATGGGACAGGGTAGAACTGCCCCATAGGGTTTCCAAGGAGTGGCTGGTAATTTCAAACTGCCAACCTTTTGGTTAGCAGCGGAAGTCTTAACCACGATGCCACCAGGGCACATTTTACTCCTAGCCATCTTTAAGTAATTAATAGTATTTTTCTAATAATTTCTATCCTTTATTTTAAAATTTTATTTTGGAAACTCAACAAATGAAAACATTTCTGTAAAGGGATGACTTCGTTACTTTGCATTCATCATAGATCATTGATTTAGAATTGTTAATTTTTTTGTTAGAGCAACTTTGAACAGGTGCTAGTAGTAAGTTGGTGGTGTTCTTCCGCAAATTTAAATCATTAGGGCTTGGACCTGTGTACTCGTAGGTCTAATTCATTAGTAGTGGTTAATTACTAAAGTTCTTCCTCTCCTGATGTGTTTGTAAACCTGAGGCAGCAAGTTTGAATTTGACGTGGAAATGTTTAAGTTAATACATCTTGAAAGGAAAGAAGTTCTTGAATATTTGTAGTTTTTGGTTTTTAAAATATTTGGATGGATCCTATAAATGCAGTTACTGAAATTGTTATTAAGAAGATTTGATTAGAAGATTCAATTCCTAAAATTACTTCTAACAGTGAGATTTGTATATACCTGATTCAGCAGTATCTGTTGCTAATCATATGAAAAATATTGATAGAACCTACTATCCATTGCCAAATTGGAAATAATGTGTAGATACAAATTGTTGTTGTTAGTGGCAATCGAGTCAATTCCAACTCATGGCAACTCGTGTTCCAGACTAGAACTGCTCCATAGGCTTTTCAAGGTTGCGCCCTTTCAGAAGCAGATTGCCAGGCCTGTCTTCCAAGACACCTCTGGATAGGTTCAAACCACCAATCTTTTGGGTAGTAGTCGAGTGCAAACCATTTGCGCCACCTAGGGACTGCAAAATGTATCATCAAAGATGGGGAGATAGGTGTGTAAGGAAAAGACATTTGCATAATGAGCAAGTTCTCAGGTGATTTACAGAATGGAAGCATTTGACCCCCTGATCTAGTCCACCTGCTTGCTTTCAGGGAGGTTCTTTCAGTGTGGTAGTTTTCTAACCTCATGTCTAATTCTTTCATAGAGGGGGAGTGTTGTACTGTTTTGGGGCAGTACGTTTCAGGTCTCTTATTTAGAGGGTCAGTGAAAAAGAGAAAGACCCTCAACAAGATGGATTGGCATAATAGCTGCAACAATGGGCTCAAACATAGCAATGATTGTGGGGATGGTGCAGGACTAGGCAGTGTTTCATTCTGTTTTACATAGGGTCACTATGAGTCAGAACTGACTTGACCGCACCCTAACAGCAACAGCTTAGACCAAGGGCATAAATCCCTCTTTTGTCCTCATCTTTTCTCCCTATCTCCAATTTATAAACAAACTAACATTAAAAAGAATTAAACTTTTAAAGCAGTGCTTCACTTACTTTTTTTCCCCTCCCTCTTTGTAGCATAATTATGTCTAAATCAGCTAAAGTAATTGTAGCAAAAACATGGAAAGAAATCAAATAAAAATATAATTTACTTCAGCATCCTTCTTTAGTTTTTCCCAGATCTTGTTTAGAAGTAAATATAGTCTGTAGCCATGTAAATATATAATTATAAAAAATAGAGCACATGTTAATATTTTGTTCATTAGTTTGTGACTCTTGATAATTTTGGTGAATATGTATATGGATATATCTATTCATATATTTTAAATGATTTGCATTTAGTAAGTAAATTATAGCTTTAAAGGTTTTGGTCCAATTTTAGCTTTTTAAAACTAAACCTGTGCTTCCCATTTGTTTTAGCTGGAGTCACAGCAGAGGCCATTCAGACTATCACTACTGCTCCGGACGCCTCAGGGACAGAAACCAAAGTCCAGGAGGAAGAGCATGACCTTGTTGATGACGACATCACGACCGGTAAGCATGAACATCTTTAACAGCAATTTTGATGGTGCTCTGTTCAATACTGTAAAATGTTTTTTAGGTCAGTTATAGTAGGAGTAAATATGTTGATGGAAAGGATGGAAACTTGTATTGATGGTATGTTTACTTTTGTGAGACGCTTTAGTGTCCTTTTTGATCTCCAGGTGGAACAAAGTGAAAATGTTTATTTGGTCCAGGTTTGCTCACTGTCATATAACAATGAACCTGCTAGCTGCGCAGTTGATTTTCTATAGACCTTCTAATTCAGAGACTAGGGTCATTATTAAGCCTTGAAACATATAAAGGAATAGTCACATTATGTTATGAAAGATTTTCCAATTATAGAGCAAATTGAAGACTACTGAAGTTGTGATAGTAGTATATGTAATATAGGCTGTATAAGGAAACTTAGACACTGTTTATACCTTTACCATAGAAATGAATGCTGCCTTTTAAAATCATATAAATTGTAATAAATACAAGAGATAAATACATTCTTATTTGTATTATCAAGCATGTAGACAAAGTAAACGCACACATACTACATATCTGTATATCTCTCTCTATATATATATCTGTGTTTAGCCTATCTTTTTATAGACTTAAACCAGTTTTAATTACTGGATACCCAAAGATTCAGCTGCAAATTCTTTGAATGCACAGAGGATAAAAACTACTTAATATACCTAACTGATAAACTTATTTTTGGTATAGGTGGTTAAAATGTAAAATCTGACCATATATAATTATCATGAAGCAATAAATATTAACTTAATAGTAATAATTTCAGAAGAAACTTGCCAAGAAAATGCTAAAATTTTCAATAAAGTTTAAAAGGACAAAAGAGAAATTAAAGGAAGGTTTTCTTTTTCTTTTAAAGCTCTATGTGGTGGGTTTTCAAAGCTCTGTATATGTATTATACACTTTTGTGTATGTGTGTTATAATAATTTAAAATTTAAAGGAAGTTCAAGTTTCCATGTCGAGTTGGCCCTGACTCATGGTGACCCCATACCATCCACAATTCATAAGACTTCATTTAAGAACTAAAAGAACTGTTACTACATTTGCTTATAAATGTAAAGACATGATAGTCTCTTGATATAATACGGAACCTGTTGAGAGCTATTTGCTATTGGCTTATTATAATCTGATATCAGCATAGTTTAGCTGAGCATTATCTAACAGCTGTTACCACCTAAATGCCTTTAACATTCTTCTACTGGGAAAAAATTGAGGGAGCCAACTTTCTCCCTTGAAAATTTGCAAAGCCTATGGTAAAAAAACCTAATTCAAACTATATGTCACTCTGCAAAAGACAAAACTATAGACAGTAAAAAGACCAGTGGCTACCAGGTGTTCAGAGTGGCTACCAGAGGGTGAGAGGGGAAGGATATCAGTGGCCACCAGAGGCGGAGGGGGAAAGGATAAAAAAATGGAGTGCAGGGATTTTTAGGGCAGTGAAACTATTCTGTATGATACTGTAATGACAGACACATGGCATTATGCATTTATCAAAATACTAGAACTATACAACACAAAGAGTGAACTCTAATGTGAACCATGAACTTTAGTTAATAACAACGTATCAGTATAGTAACTTGGGAACTCTCTGTACTTTCTCCTCGAAATTTCTGTAAACCTAAAAGTGCTCCAAAAAATAAAGTCTATTAAATAAAACCAAAAAACTGTAGCCTTGTGCCACTGCTGCAAATAAGTAGTTTTTCAGCTTGGTAGCATTTGGTTTTCAGTAAAAATGAGATGATGGTGGTGGCTACTATTTGTTCCTTTTTAATTCTTTTTAATGTATCAGCTCATTGATGAGAAAACAGTCATTCAATTTAAGTGTAAATATAAATGATTTCCAAAAGTTCCAACCTGTCTGAAAGTCATTTAGCCCTTCACAATTGTGGAATTTGTTTCAGTAGCTATTAAAGAAAATAGATTTCATTTGCAGATTTTTTACAACTAATTCTTCTTTTATTCCATTTTCATTGCTTTTCTTACAGTGTCATAAATATGTTTGTTGCTATGTTTTAATTCCCTGCAAAGTTTTAAAGGCCTTCTAGTCTATAAAAGGTAATTGTTTAAGTCATAGAAAAGAAAGAAGTTTCATTTGCGATAGCAGAATAACTCAGTTTGCATTCTGGAATAAAATTTGGGTTTTTGAGCACTCAGGTAAGCTTTGTTAAATCAGTGCATTGACATTTTTTAATTATGCACTACCAAAGCCATGAGACAGCACGCAAGTGTGCTTTTCTTTTATTATTAACCAAGAGGCTTAAAAATGAAAATCTAGTTTGGAGAATCAGTTAATGCTACATAAACTGTGTTTTAATCTGTAAGAAGTTAGGTTAAACATATGTGATGGATGGCTTTTATCAGTCGTTTTTTTTCATTTCATACCACGGGTACTAGAGGCAGGAATGTTCAATATCCGACCAATTTAAATAACTAAAAAAGGCTTCCTTAACATGTCAAAGCAGCTCACATGCTGCAGTCTGTGGATCGTTCGCATTACCTTTCGAGTGTGTGACTTGATTAAGCTGTGGTATAGATTTTTGTGAGGGTTGAGAAGAAAACCATATTTCGTTTCATTGACTAGAATCCTATATAAATTGCATTATGAAAAATATGGTAGATGCATTGAGAGAAACCTGTTTCAAGCACAATAATCTTATTTTGGGGTGACCAGCATTGTCTAGCACAACTGCTACAAAAGGGAAAATTGGCCAGTTTGACCATTTGCTCTGAAACAGCTGATTAATTTTTTTCAGATATTCAAAAGGAATTGCCCTAATAATATCCCCTTATAAAGTAAATAGAAATTTTATCATGACAGAAATATATGCTGATATTTTTGAGTGAATTCTTATTTGGAAGTTGTAATTAGGCTAATGTACATAATTGTATTAATTTTGTTTTTCTAGTAATCCAGGACTTGATTCTTAAAAACAACCTGACCAAGATAACAATTAAAATATGAAGTGCAACGGTTATTTTAGTGCTTTTTCTAAAGGCAGAATAATTGTTAATGGAATTTTCCTTTTGGTTGAGAATGAGTGAAGTGTGAATGTTGTCTTACAACACCCGAATCAGAGCCTCACTGTCTTTGTTAGTGTTTGCCTTATAAAGGTAAAGAAGTATGGGTAAATCTGTATAAATGTTGTCTATGATCAACTGGAACTAATTAAATTCATTTACAATGAATCGTCTTAACTGGAAGAGAACAGCTGGAAAAACTGGAAAGAAAAAATTGAATCTTGATTGAGACAGTTTAAACCTTCACCTTGTCATTTAAAAAATATGCTGCAGCTTCTTTCTATATCTCTCTTTTTACAGCTAATATCTATTGATCGGCTCTACAAAGTACAGCCAGTGTACCTTGGTCAAAACACACACACTGCATTTTGCTTAACATTCTATCTTAAAGTTCATCAAATTCTTTCCTTGAACCACGTTTTAAATCATATATCATAGTCATACTAGCCATTTGGGGGAATTTATCTTGTTATTTTATGTACAAAAGTATTAAACCTATTTTACATATTAATTTTTTAAAAATATTGTACAGTATAAATGGGAAATATGCTTTCTTTTTCAGTGGATTTGCTTCAGGTTTTACAATACTCTGTATATTTAAAATCTGTTTTTAGAACAATAATACTATTTTTTCAAAGTAAAAAGAACAGCATTAAGAGTGTTTCTAGATTATTTATAATTTCAGAATCAGAAAAATATTACTCTATATTATGTTTGCTTTTGCAGGCATACTTTTATTATTATAATTTAAATGCTTATGTTAGATGTATAATCAATATTTATAGACAATATGTTGTTATTTTCAATAAGATATTAATAGTTATATAGCATAATCACAGTTAGTGGAGTAAATCTCACTAAAAACTGACATACATAGCAAAAATTTTTAGACAACAAATCATAATCTAATATGCATTTTTTTAAAGGAGACATTTTGGGTGACTTAGTCATCCTTTGTGTAGTTTTTATTTACTGTCTGGGTGAGGATGAAGCTATCCATTTCCCAAATATTACATTTTAAGACATCCTTCTCCTAATTGTAGGTTAAAAAAAAAAAAAAAGACATCCTTCTCCTAACTGTAGGTTAAAAAAAATTTTGGAAGGGTTTCCTTCACAAACTTGCAAGTATCTCTTTAAGAAGATCACTACTTTCTTCTTACTGCAGTATCCTCCCTCTTGTTCAATATAGCAAGGACACAAACTGACCATATAACAGTGACAAAGGGTCAAGAGTCACTGACATTGTCAAAAACGGACAGCTTGATACTAGATCAGCAGCACAGTTGACAGATTCAGCTACTTACAACAAAAGCAACAATGATATATGGATCAGAATGGGTGTGTTGACTGTACTTGTTTTACTTTTTGAGATAAGTTTTTGTAAAATTGTAGCTACATTTTAATTATTAATTCAGAGGGCAAACATCTCTGCCTACTACAGGTTAATAGATGCTCAGAATAAATGCATTTTACTGTTGCCATATACTTACTGCTGACAAAACTTACGTGTACATGTTCTCTCTCTCTCTCATTTGCATCCTAGAAACGTATGTTTTAAATCTAATTCTTTGTAGTTGTATACGTTCCGGATTTAAAGTTTTAAATTTCTGGGATAACATCCTATTTTATTGTAAATTGAAGTGTAGTTTCTACAAATACACCTTTGCTTTTTCTTGGATTGTGGAATCAATGTTTGTTGTATGAGGGACTACTTTATCTTACTTTCTTATTTTATAATCAAATAAATTAATATTGTTCTTTCTTAGAGAACTTATATGATTGATACCAGTGTCTCAAGACACGTTATTTGATCTTTCAAGTGGAAGGATCTATAAAGCATGATTCAACGTGAAAAGGTCTAGCAATGATTCAAAGTAATACTGTATGCATTATTATTAATAATATGTAGTAATCTTTTTCATGTTCATCCAGTTATTCATTCAATAGATATTTA